TTTTTTTCTTTCAACATGCCGAGAATGGAAGCTTGAAGATGGGTTTCCTTGCAGCCATCGGCGCCCTCGCCAATATTTTGTTGAATCGTCTTTGACCTGGAAAACAGTTTGGGAACGATACTCACACAAAGCCTCAATCAGCGATCGTCGGGTAATCCAGTATTGTCGTTGGACGCAATATGTACACATGTATTTTCCTGGAATTCGACTACCCTAAACCAATGAAGATCTTTGTGGTGGCTGCGTCAGAATTGATGTGGCACTTGCAGATTCGAACGTATCGGAGGAGGCCCGGTCTGCATTAGTATCGGAAAAGCAAATGCATTTGGACGAAGCCATCAACCAGAGGCGCACTATGTCAGATTTTATTAAGCAATGCGTCGCAGCTACTGCACCTCAGCAGTCTGTACCAGACGAAGTAATTGCAGATCACGGTGAGATTCCGTTGACGTTGGAACCTGTGCTTCAGCGTTGTATTCCAACAATGCAGATTCAGATTGAAGATTTTGGAGGTAGTTTTCCGCTGCCCGTGTACGGACTGAAGCGCCCGTCAGCAGATTATTTCAACTCATACTTGCTCATGCATAACATTGTGATTGCCGATGTAACCAATGGCATAAATTACGTATTAGTCTACGATGAGCGAGCCCAGGGAAAGGGAGCAGATGCATTGTGTAGTCTACGTCTCATGTATCACATCGTAAAAAGTATCAGTCTGCAGGGCAAGATATTCCTGAAAACACCCACTTTCTACTCCAAGTTCTGGATAACTGTGTAAGCCAGAATAAGTCGCGGGTCGTTTTCATGTTCCATGCAATGCTGTCACTGGTTTTCTATAAGAAGGTGGTTTTACTGTACCTCCTCCCGGGCCATTCTCACAATGCAGCCGACCGCGTGGTCGCTGGATGCCGAAGTAGAATGAAATCAGTAAATCTTTACTGTCCAGAACAGATCGTCGCGAAGATGAATGATACGGAATCAGCGCATGTCACATTTTTAAACCATCGCCAAAAAGATTGACCCTTTTTCTGCGGTTGGGAAAATTTACTATCCAAGTACTTTAAACGGATGCCAGCTAGCTACACGAACAATTGTTTTTTCGTGATTGATATTGGTATCGTCTCCATGAGGCATCTCGTCACAACAGCACAGCAGGATACCGAATCATTTTCCCTGATTGGGGATGGTGATCCACTTACAATTAGAAAGTCATTCCTTGCTGATCTTTTTGGGTCGGGCGTTAGTATCGACGCTGCCACAATGGATGATGTGAAACTAGAACCTGAGCTAGTACTGACGCAGAAAAAACTAAAGTCATTTTCGGATAAGTACGTTTCGATTCCCAGCTGAACACGTTGATTATTACCCTGCTTTGGTGGAGGGAATGATTAATACCGAAGCGAAATCGACGACAGAAAGTGGTGCAAAGAGAAAAGCTGCTGTTGGTGTCGCTGCTCCGACAAAAAAGCCTGTTGGAAGGCCAAGAAAGAAGCCGCTGCATACTATGAGCCCATCCATTTT